TGAAGGAACACTAGGTAAGAATTCACAACATCTATTGTACAAGGAACGACGTTCTGTCGTGTATATAAGAAGATTCGTCCGACGTTGCTCCTGGATATATCTGGGATCACATACCTTCAGCTTTGCAGCATAAACTCACAATTAAAATATTTATTCGATTGTTCATTGCTCTACCATTCCATACCTTGAGATTGCAAGATCACACACGCTCATAGCTTTACCAACGCGATAGGGAAACTGACCCAATATCTAACATGTCGCCTATTTCGAAGACTAAAGCAGCTCTACAGAGCATGGTCTCCAAAGCACATAGTTCCAAACATAACCTGTTTCCACAGCGCAGTACCCGAGAAGATATCGCCGAGTTGCTAGGAGGAATTCCACCAGCCTTGAACCTAACACCTATAAAGCAAGCAGTTGAGGACAGTCTCGGCTATGATGCTACAGACCTTGCTCCCTCGCTTAGCATCATTCCAATAAAAAAAATCTTATCCTTACCTTGGCGAGCGGGAGAATATCTAGCTGAGGACATTTCGCCCCAACCAGATGATGATTTGTTAACTGCAAGTACTCGCACAATCACGTCACAATGCGCAGGTAATCCACGCTGGGAATGCGAGCACTTAGCAGCGTTTCTCCGAGCAAGAAACGTGGCTTATGACGGTAGTAATACAAGCATCGTGGTGCTGGCACGACCCAATGACCCATGGAAACTAGAGAAAGAGAATGTCGATCACGCGGCGTTGATGCAAGTCGTAGGTTCTTTAATCACAGCGTTTGCCAGGTACGTCCCGGAGGAAATGACTTTGAGTGAGACCTCAAGGCTCACAACTTCGAATGTCTCTCTGTTTAGTGCGCACAATAACCTCGATGCCGGCCTTGCCATCCTTTCGGCGTTCCCATCACTTGTCCTGGATGGTAAAGATCTGTACCTTATTATTGACTTAAGCGACATTGATGAAAGAGAAGACGGCCCGTCAAACGACTACCGGAACCTGATCAAGGCTCTTATTGAGATCGCGGCGTTGAACAGAGCGATTCTAATACGGGTGGAAGCTACAAAGACTGGTTCAGAATGTTTCATACATGGGCCTGGAGGAACCCATCAAAATGGGTCGAAGGATCTACAAGTTATATATGATCCAACTGAGGACAAGCAGTGAATCTAAAATAATATCTTAATAGATCATGATTAGAGGACGTTAGCTAAGTAGAGAGGTGGAAAGTAATTCCCAAGTAGCTTATTCTAGGAAGATAGTCGAGAAATAATATTAATAATATCATAAGCCTCATGATTCCCTAAAATTAGACTCTAGTCTCCTTACGCGGTGCTAGCCTACGACGTGAAGAACAACCCCGGTGTCTTTGTTTTACAATCGCATGTAGTCTTCTTCATGAGTATTTGATCAATATCATGCAATAACTGGCACATTGTTGAAGTGAAGCAAAAGTTTTCGAAGAAAGCTAGAGTGGCAGTTGTGAAATCTGGGGGTCGGTGTCCCAAGCCCCAACTGCACACACCTGAAACTGCAGAACAAAGGGCCTTCTGTATATTGCCCAAATTATTCGAGGTAGGTATCTTTGAGGCCCACCTCAAGTGCTGTGTTCCGACCGCCGGCTTCGTGCATTATGCGATACCTCCTTATTAAACCCTTGCTTATTTTCGTAGGAAGTGATAACTGTTAGTCTATATTCCATGAGATACCATACTACTATCCGCTAATTCTATGCGTAATTAGTAGGTTTCGGATATTCCAAACTTGGATCGCATCACCGATGGCACCGCCGCACAAACAATAGTGGATGGCACCTCTCAGGGGCGGCAAATGAACGTCTATGAGGCGTGTGTACTGGAATATGAGAGATAACTGTATTGGCAGCGCAATAATGAGCAATTATCTCGGTCTTTAGTCTAAGTATACGAACTGAATAGTGTTTCTCTTCGGGCCTGATCGTTTGCATCCTGCAGCCTACAGATAAATAGTCGAATCGCCATTTCCATCCTCTAGCTTGAGTGCTTCTCACTCGGGAACCCACTGCAGCCGCCGACGAGCCATCTAACACGAAAATACCCGACAGTGCAAGCTACCGAATATCCACAGAAGCGCTAGTTCATCGTATTGCCAAGTGCCAGGATCATTCGAATATATCCATTGGCTAATGGCTATCCGTTTCGTCGACGAAAAGAATATATGCCCCCATTTTATCCACCAAGGTCTGTCTCAGAGCAGCCTCGAACGACTCCCAATAGTTCGACTCGCCAATCCCCACGAATCTTTTAATTCTGTCAATTACCACGACGTAGACGTACCTCGCTCTTCTACGACGGTTATGCTCGTCCCGGAAGCAATAGCCAGTCTGGTAGTCGCAGAGGCGAAGAGCGGACAAAAGCTCAATGAGGGCGTTGACATTGCGTGTACCCCGGTCGTGATCGAAATACTTGTCGAGGAATGTGTCGCCGTATATTCCGTAGTGGCTCATTACCGTAGGACGCACGCGGGTAACGAAATGAGAAACCTCGCAGATCAGAGTACATAGTAGGCTCCTCCATGCCGCCTCGGGGTCCGTGATATAATCTGGTACCGTTAAAAAGATGAAAATTGGGGATGATCCCCTAATCTGCAAATCCGTCTCTTTTGAACGTTTCCATAGATCGGCAGTGGTGGGCTTTCCATAGTATGGGTATGTGCGGACATATTGGTAGGAATCAGGGCCCCCAATCCACGATTTAATATCTTCCCAGAGTTCACTTGAATTATTCAGGAAGGTGCCTTGGAAAGTCTCTTGAGGGTTGGTTGCTTCTAGGGATAAAGTTCGGTTGATATGCCCCAACTCGGCCATAGTGAAGTTCGTTGGTCCCAAAGAGGAGTCGGTAGCCATTGTGAGTGATTTATGTTCAGTTTCTGTAGTATGGGATCAAAGCTAGTCTGCTTTTATGTCGTGTCGACTCCTAAGTATCGTAATTTAAGAGGGCCTGTCAAGATCTCGTAGGAGGGTCTAGTATAAGTGTAGGTAAAGACTGTTGTTGTTATGAGAAGGGGCCAATCTCCGTAAGCTAACCCTTAGACGTATACACATACGTGCTTTGTGAAGGGGAGTTGCATCGTAATAGGACGTTGGTTTTATGTTCGGAAGTCCGCGTGGGCACCTTTTCTTCTTACCCAAGAACGTCGACTATCCCTTTCGCATTGATCGCATTGATCGCAGATGAGTGACTCGCGTTTTGACAGCAGTAAGGGGGCGAGGCGCAACACCAGTACAGCATCCGTATTCAGGGAGGAGCAAGCGAGTCAACGGACCCCCAGATCCAATCCTTGCCGGTAGCAAGGAGAACACGCGACGCCGGACAGGCTCTGCCATATTGGGAGAAATCACACTTCAATTCTATTAGGAAGGAAGGAAGGAAGGAAGGACCTGGGTGTTCATAGTGTGCTATTAAAGCCTTCTAGTACCCGGTTACTTTAAACAATGATAAAACAATGGTTTGAGAACCCTTACGTCCTTCAGCAAGGCTTGAATCCCACATAACGTACCTAAGGGCCGAATAGCATTTAAAGAAACTGCCTAAATATTGCTACTTAGGTAAATGTAAATGATACGGAGGCAGTTGTACCTTATTAGAGGATATTTAGGGTTATTACTGCTCTCACCCTTTTGAACTAAGGAGACCACCATCTTATGCCCTAGAAACGGGCGTTGTACAGCACACCTGCTATGACGTTATTCTGTTGCATTTTGCGATCGATGACCAACAGGGAGCTTGGATTTAACTAGGTGGCCTAGAACCGTTTCTACAACGACGTCGTCAACTGCGCAGGGACAGCCATGACCGACCAAGTTGACGAGTGTTTGGGAGGGCGGGCATCGTTTGCCTCATCCATGCTCCCTTGTTAACAGCATTGCCAATCGCAGCACGCCGTCATTCATTTGGTCTCACCGGGAAAGGGTTAAAGCAACTCAGACATTGCTGTTACATGTAACGTGTTGGTACACAGTTATTTCGGCTACGACTGCTGCCATTATGCTTGTAGGCAAGGGCTCCCTTCTCTCTATATAGCACGTTAGCTTTAATAATCAATACGCTACTATGATTTTTTCCGACCGTTGTCTTAAGATAGTCATCTCGTAAAACTGCTCGCCCTTCCCGACCCCTCTTATTTCAAATATATTTGGTTCTTAATGGTGTCTGGCATAACCGTCGATGTTAGAGCCATTCCCGGAGGGAGACTATTAGTAATCAAACTGTTTAGTTGCATTATACGGTCAAAATTATTTTAGCGCGTGGGTACAGCTGACTTATTTCTATTTATGTGTCATTTATTCTATCTATTTTGTAATATCAATAGCTCACTTAATTCATTTGTTACACTTGCGCAACCTACAGCCGCCTCATTCATGAACTTAACAAGCAGGGTTACTCTAGTGCTGCCCTTGCCCTCCTTTCAACGAGCTCCACGCCGCCTACTGCAGACTAGACGGAAGACATTGAGGCCTCCGCAAGAGAGTTTCAGAACAAGTGGAGAAGCAAGATGTTATTATCGTTGTTGTAGATAGGTTCACAATACGACTACTGGCATGGCACTTAGTAGTCTTGCTCAGGAGACATACTTGTTGTTTTTTTACTCACCTTCTTAACTTTAAGTATCGGTCCGCTGTGGCCGCATTCGTGCGGAGTGTATTAAAAAACCTCCTCGCCTGGGGAGAAGTACCTAGCTTACAGGTAATTACAGTATTGAGTAGACTACTGCCTGAAAGCTCAGGCATGTATACCTAGCTAAGTACCTAATCTAGGTTGCTACAGTAAGAGAAAAGTGGTCCTAAAGGCGGTGAGCGTTCTTTTTACGCCTTCAGGACTAAAAGTTCGTGGATCCAAAAATGGAGTCCTCCATACCACCTCCATGTTCCATATGGGCTAGGTGCATTGATAGGTAACTAGTCCGAGTCCAGCCATTCTAGGTAGCGAGACAAGTAGTTCCTTAGTAAATTATCCCTGCATCCAAGGCAAGATGGCCGAGTTGGTTAAGGCGGAAGACTCAAGCTGATCCTTACCTGTTCAACAGGCAGTATTCTTCTGGGGCAACCCGCGCGAGTTCGAATCTCGTTCTTGTCAAAACTTTTTTTCTTTCAAATCCTACCCTTTCTTGCAATGTGCTATTATTTTTATTACTATGTGGAAGAATATGGGTTCACGTCACGGTATTTTTCCCGATTGCGATGTTTGGGTTTGATGGTCTCCCAAGTATTTAAAGAGGAGAACAATTAGTTATAGGTACCTATTCAACTATACATATGAGAACCAAATCGGTTGGCATCGAGATCCCCCGATGCAAGCATCTGGACGGAGATTGCGCTCTCCGGCCGATAATGTTTTACTCAGGATTCACCGGCCGCCACTTCGCCCTTGTTAATGTGCATCCGTCATCCCCGGTCTTCTACCTCACTCTGCTTGGCTGGTGCTTTTATGGCTGCTTATATCACCCGAAGACAATATGCAGGCCGTTGTGTGCAACATACCCCAGGCCAATACCTTTCTTGACTGGGGTGCGGGGAATCGGTGCTTATACCGCAGGATGGGAGGTAACAGAGTAACAGGGCCTCATGAGACATGGGGCTTTTACTCCGTTCACGATACTAATTGAAGCCTATTGTGACTATATTTAGACGTAACTGTGTGCTAAAATTCAACATGGCAGTCAATCTGAATCGAAATGTCCGATCGGAGCTGCCGTGCCCCAACAGCACTCCCTCTTACTGGCACAGCAATCCTTCCAAGAAGTTGCTAGGCCATTGCACGACAGAGGTTCTTCCATCCGCCACTGATATCGTCATCGTCGGCAGCGGTATCACAGGTACGTTCGCTTCCAGGGAGCTAGTCGCGGGCGGGAGGAGTGTGGTGATGGTCGAAGCGCGGGAAGCGTGCTGGGGCGCAACGGGACGTGTAAGCTTCACAGATTGATTCCTTGATTCACTTTCCTTTCGGTTTTTTATGTTCCTTCTAGCATTTTAGGAGCCGTTATATGCTGCCGAAGCCATGGCCAACTAAAAAAACGCAGAACGGAGGCCACTGTCAGCCTGGTGTCTGGGCCAATACTCCCGAGGCTGCCCGGTTTGAGCTCGCCACATTCAGAACCATCGCAGAGCTCGTAGCGGAGCACGATATTCCCTGCGATTGGCAGGTAATTGGTGGTGTACACAGCATCTACTCGAATGAGATCCTCGACGTGGCGCAAAAGCAGCTCGAGCGCCTACAACAGTATTCAGACCTCAAAGACAAAGCTACGTTGATTCTAGATAAGGGGGAGCTCGCAGCCCTGAACGTCCCTGAGGCCATCGCTGCTGTGTATCAGCCTAACGCAGCCAAATTTTGGCCCTACAAGCTTGTCACATGGCTGCTGGAGCGCCTCCTCGCGGACTACGATGCCACCGCCTTCAATCTTCAAACAAATACACCAGTGGAGCAACTCGAGCGACACGGCTCTTCGTGGATTGTTCACACGAAGAGGGGGCACATTGTCGCTCGGGAGGTACTTCTCGCGAGTAACGCATATACGTCCTACCTGCTACCCAAGTTGGCCGGGCTCATTATCCCTGTGAGAGCGCAGGTGTGCGCGCTAGCGCCTCCTCAAGAGGCCACGCAGCTCTCACACAGCCATGTCTGGATCGAGGGCGGGGATTATCAATACCTGATTCAACGCGGGCCCGAGGAGTCTCAGGCAGAACATAGCCAGACGTCTCCTTCTATAGACAGGCTACTTGTCTTTGGAGGCCAGAAAAACGTGGTGCCCGATGGCGAGCAAGGTGTATCACGAGACGATGTCGTGAATCCTATCATTGGTCGGGCGCTGCGCAGAGCTCTGAATCATGCCGTCAAACTCGTTCCTGGGGACATACCCGATACAGAGGTCCTAACTGCCGCATATGAGTGGACGGGAATCATGGGCTATTCGCGGGACGACAACCCCTGGGTTGGTCGTGGTAAGTCATTCTTGGATACATATTTTCACATATTTTCACATTATCGCGGCTTTAATGTATTAAGGCTTTATTTGGGCCAATATCGTGCCCAGAAGCTTCCGGGACCCGCACATATCACGCTCAAAACGGCGGTAGCTGGCTCTGAGTGATAACTGACTTGGATTGTTCTAGTGCCTAGCACTTTACTCGATGCTGTTGGCTCGGAGAGTGGTGCAGATGGGTTATGGATTAGCGCGGGATACACGGGTCATGGGATGCCGGTAGCACCCGGGTGTGCTGTCGCTGTCGCGCAAATGATTTTGGGGAAAGAAAGCGGCGTAGAGGTGCCGAGGGAGTGGATGGCGAGTAATGAGAGGGTGGAAACGGCGAGGAGTGCGAAGTTGCCAGGGGTCACTGAGGACAGGTTTAGCATGCAACTCGGTGAGGGGGCAGCAGTCTAAGGCTTTTTCCATGGCAGATGACGACGCAGTATGCGAAACGACCAAAGGCCGGCTAGATAGGCACACGAGGTACAGCATCCGAAAAGCTCTCTATGTTGGATCGTGAAAGGGTCAGCTTGTTCTATCCACTAACAGACAGTTTACGCGGTAGAAACGCGTCTAGCCTGTCAACTTTCTCGGCGGGACTGGCTGCATATAAGTATAGATCTGAAGAATTTCTCAAGATTATAGGAAGCTTGGAATCCCAAAACGAAAGAATTGTCTGCGTAATCTTCTCGCTGTTTGGATACGGGAACCCCATGCCTTTCTGGTAAGTATTCAACCTGCAAATCACATCTTCAGTCGTCTTTTCTCCGGCCACAACATCATCATCTCGATCAAAGAAGACAAGCAGATTGGATTTATACAGGGCAGAATCGGGTCTTGTCCGACCGGCAATAATGTCGCAAACCTTCCCAGAACCTCTGGGGGCTCCGGGTGGGAACCTTTTGTATTGGCTGTATTGGTTGGGTGAGGCGAGGTTGCTATTCTCCTAAGGCTGATTATCAGGGTTTGGCAGTAATTTTGGCAGAGATCTCGCGCACCATAGCTGCTTAATTAAGAGATAACTTCCTGCATCCGCACATATTGTTGATGACATAATATTCGTGGGGTAAATGATAAGTAGCGCTTCTCCCCCGCAGCTTGATTCCCCAAAAGCGCAAGGTTGAACTACAATTACTCAAAGGAGCCTGACTATAATGATTCCGGAAGATTATGGGAAGCAAGATGTCTCCAATTCGGTATTCTTTATTCCGCAAACCCTAGGCAGTGCGAAAAGAATAGTCCGGGTAATAATTATATAATGCTTCATATACGAGAATTCCATTCCCACCGCATTCCCCATCTAGAGGAAGAATAATGCAAGAATGAAAGCTTACCTAGTTCTAGCCGCTGTCTTAACAGCAGTGAGGGGAGCTATATTGGAGAGGGATGCTGTTGGGGGCGACATCCAACTATACCCTACAAATGGCCAGCATCACGTCAACCCAGATGCGCAGTTAAAGCTCACGTTTTCATCTCCGCCAACGATAGGCTCGTCGGGGAAAATCAACGTCTACGATTCGGAAGGAAAAATGCTGGTCGATACCTTGGACTTGTCGATCCCATTCTCTCCAAGCCCCTATGGCAATGGATCCACCAAAGCCAACTATACTGACACAACCAAGTATCAAACCAACATCATTGGCGGTCTAGACTTCTATTTCTATCCAATTATCGTCAGGAACAACACTGCTACCATATACCTGCACAACAACAAGCTCACCTACGGACGCACGTATCTTGTCGAGATTGAGCCTAGTGTGCTGAAGCCGGCCAGGGGTTCTTTCAGTGGATTTACCCTAGACCAACCATGGAGGTTTTCGACGAAAGTCCACGGTCCACGGGCTGATGCGACATCAGTTGTGGTAGCGGCGGACGGGTCTGGCGACTTCAATACAGTCCAAGGGGCCATCGACTGGGCGCCCGCTAACCCAACTAAGCGCACGACCATCTATATCAAGAACGGGAACTACGAAGAACTGGTATTCTGGCAGTATAAATCCGACCTGACCATCCGTGGCCAGAACCGCGAAAAGACGATCGTCGGATATCCCAATAACAGCGCTTTCAATCCTCCGAATCGACAGGGCCCCTCGCGCCGCCCGGCGTTCTCCTTTCGCGGGGTGGCGGACCTGCAGCTTAGTAGCTTCACCGTCAACAACTACTACCCTGGCCAGGCCGAGTCCCTGCTCGCCGATGGTGTGCGAATCATTCTGGACCACATGACGCTCAATGGCGCCGGAGATGCTCTGACGACCTACGGCACACTCTACGTCGCCGACAGCAAGCTGACGGGCACGGGAGATACCGTGCTGGGATACGGAAGCGTTTATTGGCTGCGCAGCAGAATTGAATCAATCGGGTCCGTGACATGGACGCGGACGGTTCAAGGAATTCACGGCAATATCTTCGTTGATAGCACCATTGTCGGCCTACAAGGTAACTCAACATTGGCGCGTCTCCCAGACAACTCGGGCGGTGTGATGGATAACTGGCCATATGCCGAGATGGTACTTATCAACACGAGGACGGACGGAATCGCCCCTGAAGGTTGGGGCCCTGTGCAAGGACCTCCGTTTGATAGTAGTCATGTGAGGTTTTGGGAGTACAACACCACGGACCTACAAGGTCGGCCGGTCAATGTGTCTCAGAGGCTAAACGTCTCCAGACAACTTACACTGCCAAGAGATAAGGAGATTATCGCCGAATATAAGAATCCCGCAAATATCCTAGGAGGATGGCGTCCTATGGTACTTAAAGATTGAGGGTTATGGTGATTAGCTAGGTATCTCTTTAATTAGGTATGGCGTTTGAGATACTTCCAAACAATACTTTATTGAAACTCTGTGTCAGAGTTCGTTCGTTCCTTGCCGCGCAAAATTGTATCTGATATATAACATATGGTGTGAAGGGACTCGGTAGCAGAGTGATGATGGAGGCGGTTGCACCAAAATAACCCAGGACACTAAATACAGTTTTAATCAAGTAACAACAAAAAGCAATAGAAGATTAAACTCTGATGGTCTCACTAATACTAGAGTTAATAATTATCTATCTGGGCTGTTAACACACTGTATGCTGTCTGTCTGCATACGTAATATTGGAACCAGGT